ATGATAACAAAACGACATAAGTTACGTACCGGTTCCTTTCAGACATAGAGCAGCAGAGGACGAAGGAAATGCTTGCCAATCACGGAACTCTTCGCTGGCTAATAGCCACTCCCCAGTCCCGCCCAATCTTGCTTCGGCCGCACGGGCGTGGCGCTCCCCAAACAATTCGCTGCTAATGAAGCTCATTAGATGATCTAGCTCCCTCTTTTCGACGATGGATAGGAGGCTGGCGATTCCTCTGTCAATCCGGGGGAGCGGCGAAGATAGCTGGTCCAGTTGCTTCCTGAGCGCCTCTATGCCATATATTGTCTGCTTAAAAGCTTTGCAAGAGCGCAAGGCCTCGCAGTTTTGGACCTCTCGACCAAGTCTTTGTTCCTTCTCAGCCAGACTCTTCACGCCACCAAAAGCACTGTCTGGCCGGAGGATTGCCGTCAAGGTCTGTCTGGCAACTCCGCTCTCGAATAGAGTCTCCGACTTGGCCAACAACTCTAAGGCAGCGATATATAGCTCGAGAAGCGCATCGTGTAAGCTGATTGTGGCCTTCTCAGCCGTAGTCTCGGTCGTATAGAGAGCTTCGTAGATCTGCCCTCTGCGTACAATGCGCATGAACCATTGGACTGTTCCGAGAAGAGCGGCCTTTTGCCCGATTTCTTTCACTGGGATCTGAGGATGGTCAGCTTCCATGCTTCAATACCTCTCGAGTAAAGTATAGTCCTTGACAATATCAATAAACAGACTGAGGTAGGTGACAATTGCGGTACTCGATCAAACAACTGAGCACTTCCCAACATTCAGATTCTAGGATCGTATGAAATACCTACCTTCATAACTGCCTTGGCGACAGCCCACGGTGCGCCAGCCTGCGGTGGTGCGAAAGCGATGGCAGCATCGCCCACCATTGTGATAAAGGCCACAGCATCGGCAACATATTCGCGGACGATGAGCTTCTGGTTCCCAATCTGAAGCTTGAACGGCTCGTCGCTTTGTTCAGAAAGCTTGTTCCCTTCGACGAGGCTGATAAGCTCTTTGATCTGGTCTCTCGGTTGCGTGGCAGATGATTGGAGTCCATGCTGTTTGAGCCATGTTTGGGTTTCTTCGTTGGCTTTGGCGAAGGCTTGGCTCCATAGCTTCGAGTTTAGCGGCTGTTGAGGCGCGTCCAGGTCAGGAGATTGTTGGTCTGTTTCTGGTTTCGAGACTTCAATCGAAGCTGAAGGTAGACGGGTTGAAGAGGGATCTGTAGGAAGCGATACGGCTGAGGTGGATTCAACCGCGGCAGACTGATGATCTGCCAAAGCTGTAGATGGCCTGGGCTGCGCAGCAGATGGCAGAGCGGGAACAAGCAGAGAACCTCCTGCCGTGACTATAGCCGAGTGCGAAGTGACACTGGCAGGTTTTGGAGAGGCAGGTCGGACCTCAATTGATGCCGGAGAGGAAGGCCTAGATGACCCCCCAAAGAAATAATTGACTCTAGACCTCACTTTCTCTCGGAATTTCCCGTCAGGCATGGCGGATTGACTTTGTCGGCTTTTGGAAAGAAGCAGAATGAAGAACAGAGCATGAGAGAGTTCCGTATCAGTTGCTCGACAAGAGCAAACAGCGATGGTAGTCGACAAGTTTAGAATGCCAGAGCGATACAGGATCCCCTCATCGCAAAAGCTGCACTTGATTCTTTGCTGCAGCCTCGTGCTCCTTCGGTGACCCCTCGCTCAGCTTTCCCTTTTTGCAGGCCCCCCTTGCAAGCTGAATGCAATTGGAGCCT